TGCTCCTGAATTCCTGACCCAGAGAAACTGAGATAATGCTTATTTTTAAGCTGTTAAATTTTGAGGTAATTTGCTATGAAACAATAGTCAACAAACTACCAAAGTTTACTCAAGAAAAACTATATAAGCTGAATAGTCCTCTATCTATTAAAGAAACTGGATTAGTAGTCAAAAATCTGCCAAAAAAGAAAACTCCAGGCCTGGATGGCTTCGATTTTGAATTGTATCAAACATTTAAGAAAGAAATAATGCCAGCTATTAGTTTGATTGCTGCTCCTTTCAAAGTCAATTTTTTCTCTGATCATTTTATGCTTTTTCCATCTTTGATTGTCAGTAGTTTTACAATGTGATTCCATGTGGTTTTTCCTTTTATTTATCCTGTTTGGGGTTCATAAATACTTTTTAATTTAATTTGATGTTGCTTATCAACTTTGTAAAGTTCTCCATCATTATCTTTTCAAAATTTTTTTTAAGTTCTCCATCATTATCTCTTAAAATACTGCATATTTCATTTTCTTTCTCCTCTCTTTCTAGGACACCAATTTCCTAGGTTAGACCTTATTTATCTTCCATATCTCTTAACTTCTCTTCTGTATTTTCATTGTTTTGTCTCTCTCTGCACCATTCTGGATATTTTCTTCTAACTTGTGCTTGCTCACTAATTCTCTCTTCAGATATGCCTGTTCTGTTGTCAATTCATCCACCAAGACTCTAACTTCAGTCATAGTAATTTCCAGTTCTAGTATTTCCATATTGTGTAATTTTTAATTCTTTGCCAAAACACTCTATAGCTTGTGTGTGAACATGCTAACATCTAGAGGTCCTGCAGATCTGTTTAAATGGAAGCTTCTGCTGGTGTTTGTTCTTGTCTTTTGGTATGGCTACTTTTCATTGTATATCCCATAAGGTACTTGCAAAACTATTTACAGATTTATTTTGAGGCCTACTGTGTTAATTTTCTATGACCGCATAACAGTATTACCACAAATTTAACATCTTAAATAAAATATATTTATTATCTCATACGTTCTATGGGTCATGAGTCCAAACAGCTCCACAAAATGCTCTGTTCCAGGGTCTCACAAAACCAAATCGAGGTGTCACCCTGAGCTGTGATCTCAGCTGAGGTTCCACTAGGAAAGGATCCACTTCCAAGCTCACATAATTGCATCATGCAGTTCCCTGCAGACTACTGGACCAGTGGCTTACTTCTTGCTCTTGGCTAGAGGCCACCTTCAATTGCTTGCCAGGTGGCCCTCTCTGATGTCCTGTTCACAACATGGCAGCTTGCTTCTTTAAAATCAAAGGGGAGAATTTCTTAACAACATGGGCATCACAATCTGATATAATATCATCATGCCACATTATCACGCACATTGCATCATTTTTGTGGTATTCCACTGACTAGAAGCAAATCATAGATCACCTCCTCCACAAAGACACACACACACACACACACACACACACACACACACACACACACGGACTACTGGGATACAGGGATCATGGGAGGCCACCTTAGAGTCTAGGTACCATATTTAGGATATTAATTTCCTTTTGAGGGAATTTAGATTTGCTTCTGCCAAGCCCCTGGGAGCTCTAAATATCCTAGATAATCTCATTTCATTTCTTTACTCAATTACTTACAAGTAAATGTGCTTAGACATAATCTAACTTATTAATTTAAAGCAAAGATTTACTTTTTCAACCTAGAAAAAAATAGATGGTACCAATTTTTCCCATTAAATTATATTGAAAAATCTCTATTTCTGGTGCCCTCCATAATGAAAAGACAATTTTGCTATTATTACATAATGGAAATTTATGCCTAAAACATGAGAGCCTAGAAATCAGCATAGAATTACAAAACTTTCAGTGCAGTTGATGTTTTGCTAATATCCTCGTATGAAAGTCTCATAAATGCTGAGTATTCATACTATTATATATTGTATCACTCAAGTCTGCATTGCTAATCTTGAGAAAGAACAAAGCTGGAAGTATCACAATCCCAGATTTCAAGATCTACCACAAAACTATAATAATCAAATGGTACTGGTACAAAAACAGACATATAGATCAGTGGAACAGAATGGAGTCCAGAAATAAACATACAATTATGTCCCCAATTAATCTTCAATAAAAGAGCAAAAATTATACAATGGAGAAAACACCATAGTCTCTTTAATAAATGGTACTGGGAAAATTGGGCAGCTACATGCAAAATAATACACCAGACCACTTTTTTATACCATACACACACAAAAAAAATTCAAAATGGATTAAAGACCTAAATGTGAGACTTGAAACCATAAAACTCCTAGAAGAAAGGTCAGGCAGGAATTGCTTTGACATAGGCCTTCACAACATTTTTCTGGATATATCTCCTCAGGCAAAGGAAACAAAAGCTAAAATAAACTACTAGGACTACACAGAAATAAAAAGCTTTTGCACAGCAAAGAGAACAATCAACAAAACAAAAAGGCAACCTACTGAATGGGAGAAGATACTTGCAAATGATATATCTAATAAGGGGTTAATTTCCAACATATATAAATAACGTACACAATTCAACACCAAAGAAACAATCTAATTTTTTAAAAATGGGCAGAAAAAAAAATCGGTAGAGGACCCGAAGAGACATTTTTCCAAAGAAGACATACAGATGGCTAAGAGACACATGAAAAGATGATGAACATCACTAATCATCAGGGAAATGCAAATCAAAACTATAAGCAAATACCACCTTACACCTGTCAGAATGGCTAGTAACAGAAAGACATGAAATAATAAGTGTTGGTGAGGATGTGGGGAAAAAGGAACACACATGCACTGCTGGTGGGAATAGAAACTGGTACAGCCACCATGGAAAACAGTATGGAGGTTTATTTTAAAAAGAAAAATATAAATACTATATGATCCAGTAATTCATTCCACTTACTGAGTATTTACCCAAAGAAAACAATAACATTATTTGAAAAGATATATGCACCCCTATGTTTATTGAAGCATTATTTATAATAGCCAAGATATGGAAGCAACCTAAGTATCCACCAACAGATGAATGGACAAAGAAGACACTGGGGCACCTGGGTGGCTCAGTCGGATAAGTGTCCGACTTCGGCTCAGGTCATGATCTCATGGTTCATGGGTTCAAGCCCCGTGTTGGGCTCTGTGCTGACAGCTCGGAGCCTGGAGCCTGCTTTGGATTCTGTGTCTCCCTCTCTCTCTGCCTCTGCCCTGCTTGCATTCTGTTTCTCTCTCAAAAATAAATAATAAACATTAAAAAAAAAAAAGATGTGATGTGTACACATACTGTAATATCACTCAGCCATAAAAAAGAGAATGAGAGCTTACCATTTGCAACAACATGGATGGACCTAGAGGGTATTATGCTAAGTGAAATAAGTCAGATAAAGAAAGACATATACCATATGATTTCACTTACATGTGGAATTTGAAAAATAAAACAAGGCAGAAACAGACCCTTTAATATCCCATAAATATAGAGAACAAACTCATGGTTGCCACGGGGGCATGGTGGGGAAGGGAAAATGGATGAAGTGGAGTGGGAGATACAGGCTTCTAGTTACGGAATGAGTAAGTCACAAGGATGAGTCACAAGGGAATATATATATTCCCTATACTTAGTATAGGGAATATAGTCAACAGTATTGTAAAAGCCTTGCATGGGGACAGTTGGGAGTTACACTTGTGGTGAGCACAGCCTGATTTATAAATATGTGACATATAAACTTGTCCACTATGTTGTACACTTGAAACTAATGCAACACAGTATCAAGTTAACTTCAATTAAAAAATAAAAATGACAGGGTGTCTGGGTGGCTCAGTCAGTTAAGCGTCTGACTCTTGATTTCAGCTCAGGTCATAATCTCATAGTCTTGAGATCAAGCCCAGCATCAGGTTCTGCGCTGATAGTGGAGGCTTCTTGGGATTCTCTCTCTCTCTCTTTCTCTCTGCCTGCTACCCATGCCTCTCTCTACAAAGACTAAATTGCTAAATAGAAATAACATAGTGACCAAACCAGCATACTGGAGTTATAGTCTGTGATGCGGATATAAATTTAAAATATATGAAGAACGTTATTTCATTTCAAAAGAAAATCTGAGATTGATGAAAACTTGGGCAACAGATACTACATCCCTATCTTTAAAATACTGAATTGGGAGTAAGACATTATATACATTTGGGAGCCTTTTATTATTTTTTTTAACGTTTATTTATTTTTGAGAGAAAGAGACAGAGCATGCGGGGAGAGGGACAGAGGGAGACACAGAATTGGAAGCAGGCTCCAGGCTCCGAGCTGTCAGCACAGAGCCCGATGCGGGGCTCGAACTCACAAACCGTGAGATCATGATCTGAGCTGAAGTCGGACGCTCAACTGACTGAGCCACCCAGGCGCCCCAGGAGCCTTTTATTCTTATAGGAATAAGGTATCAGGCTTATTTTTAAGTTCTGTAACGACTGGACATGCTTTTGAAGTAAGTATCTAATAAAGTAAAATATATGACTACTTACTCCCTCTGGAAATAAATTAAAAAATACAATCTATCTATCAACCACCAGTAGTAGAGACACCAATTACACCTACCTCAATTCTGTACTTCTCTTTTCCCCAATTTTCCCCAGGCACATGGTCATCCGGAATAATACATTTTTCATCCTTTCTCGCAGTTAGGCTGGAGCACTGTGACTCAGTTCCGGCCAAAGAAAAGTAAGGGTACAAACTTCTCACTCACTGCCCTCCTCCTTGCTGGCTACGTGTTGATGCAAGGGACAGAGCTCGAACAGCAATCTTGAAACATGAGATAGGAGCCAAATGCTGAGGTTGGTAGAGCACCACAGCAGCCTTGTGATACTTACCTCTGAAATTTTTTTAAGTGAGAGGGAAAAAAAATCTTTTAAAGCCACTGGTATTTGAGGTTTTAGTTTTATGCTGCTGTACCCAACCTTAACTGATACACATTTCAATTGTTCGTATATTACTCCTTTATTAGAAATTGTAAGTGAGAAATTATTTCAACACCTGAAGACCAAACTACAACAGAAGATTCCATGGGTTCAAGATTTTGAGACATCCTGGAAAGAGTTTTCTGTAAAGTATATCCTTTCCGTGGCATGGCAACATCACTCTTCTTTAAAAAAGTTACTGGACAGACATCATTTCCACCATCACCTATATAAACAATTCGTGTATAATTCACTCCCTGCTGTGACTGTTTATCTATAAATTCTACCAAAACTACGTTTTTGCAAAGATTTTTTGGGCACCTACTGCAAGAATGAGCATGGTAATTTTCCACAGTGAGATGACCATTGCTATCAAAAGCTGCTGGATTTGTAAACACTTTATCAAATACATCATGAAAACCGGTAGCTTCTAAAACCCAATCTATGAAGACTGAATTTGAATCTGAAATAATGATGCAGTCAAATTTATCCTTGTTCTTCCTTATAAAGTTCAAAAGTTCTACCATCCCCAGAGTGAACGGCATTGATGTCACTGCTCTTTTCATTTCATCTTCTCTTACACCTTCATCTCCCAAATACTTAAAGACTCTGCCCATAAATTCTGTCCAAAATCCTTTTTCATAAGAATCTCGTAGTTCAATAGGAAGCTTTTTCTCTGGAGCACACTGTACAATCCAGGTGTCACTATTATCATCTATGATTGTATTGTCAAAGTCAAAAACGAGCAAAATTTTCATGGTTCCAAAAGCAAATTTGGGTTATCCTGAAAAAGAAGAAATATTATTTCCTAAACATACTATTTACATATTTAGCTATTAACAAACATTACTGTTAACCTGCTAAAACACAGGTTCTAATAAACAAGTTAAAATGATTACGCATTTTAAGACCATCATTTAAGCACTTTTCCCGAAGAAGTAAAATTCATATGTATTTTAGGTAAATGGAAACAGATTATCTAAAAGGATACTCACAGTATTATTGTGTTTCTGTGGGGATGCTTCTTTGAGCACTCAGAATTAAACTACAGAGTAAGCCAATGAGAGGAATAATGAAATAATTACTCTCTTACAGTCTAATTTAGAAAAATTTTAAGACAGAAAATAAGTAGGCTAATCACTCTTATTGTCTTTAAATTATCAATCACAAATTAGTTTGAAATATTTACAGTAATCCTCATATTAACACATCATGTATAATATAAATTCTCTGTATACTGACAAAAATTCTGACCAAATTTAACTTATGAAATCTTGCAAAAATGTGAATAATTTTCCTAAAAAACGTATTTAGCTTGAAGTCATCAATGCCAGTGTTATAACTAAATGGTTGCTTGATGCTGTACTTGAATTCTAAACAAATTACTTAAACTTGGGAGAATTCCATTCTTCCAGACTAGAGGTAACTTTTGTTAACAATTTTCACATTTATTTATATTGTCTTTAGATAGTTTAGTTCCAGAGTACCAAATAATCTGGGTAAATGTGAAAAATCACATTGCTTATGATATGACAATTACTTAATTCTCTGTTTTCATTAAATGACACTGAAGGTCATTAATTATAAATCTCAAGAGAAAAGGAAAAACTAAACTGGTCAACAGACAGTATATATAAAAATTATGTAAAAAAGACAGTTATAAAGAATACCCAAGAGAAGCTACAATTAGTGTAAACAACAACAACAAATTTTTCAGTGTTACTAATATTTTTAAAGATACCACAATACACCAGGCCCTGGACTAAGAACTTCACAATTTCATCATCTCACTTAATTTCATCACCCTATTAAGTAGAAATTAACTTCATCTTAGAGACATATAAACTGAAGCCTAAGTGTTAGTTAAGTTGGTTAAGTATTAGTTAAGTGGAAGAGCTAGAATTTGGACTCAGGTCTGCTTGACACTCTAGTTCATGCTTAAAGTACCATACTCTAATGTAAAAATAATCAGTTTATTTTTACAAATTTTAAATATTTTTTAAAGAAATTTTTTAATGTTGCGGCATATGGGTGGCTCAGTCGGTTGCGTGTCCGACTTTGGCTTGAGTCGTGATCTCACAGGTCATGAGTTCGAGCCCCACAGGGGGCTCTGTGCTGACAGCTCGGAGCCTGGAGCCTGCTTCAGATTTGGTGTCTCCCTCTCTCTCTGCCCCTCTCCTGCTTACACTCTGTCTCTCTCTCTCTCTCTCTCAAAAATTAATAAACATTAAAAAAATTCTTTTTAAAAAAAATTTTTTTAATGTTCATTTATTTTTGAGAGAGAGAGAGACAGAGTGTGAGTGGGGGACTCGAAATCACTGACTGTAAGATCATGACCTGAGCAAAAGTCGGACACTTAACCGACTGAGCC